TTTGTAGTGTTGAGTGGGGCTGTTTGTAAAATCTCTCTTTTAGTGCCCACACAAAAGTGGAAGGAGGTAGTAATGAATAAATAAATCTATATCTTGTTCCCTAATAGATCATTTTGATATTACATACAGCTAAGGCTAAGATTGAAGCCCAAATCCGAGCTGCTGAAGCCGCTGCACAGTTGAGGGCCGAAATGGAATCAAAAAAGAAACGTGAGAGAGAAAGAGAAGCTGCCCGAATTGCACTGCAGAAGGTCTTTTCTTTTCCTTCTCATTTTTGGCTTTAGATCCTCATGATACTACTGTTTATACGTGGCCTCACCTTGTTGATATATATGGACTACCATACAGATACAAAAAACGGTTGAGTTTGAACAGAATCTGGAGACCCTGAAAGAACTAGAGATTTTAAGTGGATGTTCCCTGCCTAGTTATCGTCTTTACCATAGGGATGGATCTCATCAAATGGTATGGGGAGCATTTGAAGGATCTGGCATTGCGAATCCATTGCAGCTGCAGGACCTGGGTTTGTTCATTAAAGATGATTATCAATATCTGGATGAGGAGGATGAAGCGGTAAATTTAGATGAAGATGGAGAAGAGGGGGAAATAATCTCATGAAAATTGTGTAGTTGCTGTGTGTTCTCTCCTCATCTTCCTGTGAATTTGTTAATAATTTCTTCTGGGTAGAGGGAAAAACTATAGTGCATGTAAATGAAATATTTTTGTAGGGAAGAGTGGGTATTGTGTCGTCAAATACATGTATATGTATTTATGTATGTATATATTTAAAATTTTATAGATTGAGGTTTCTAAGGCAGATTATTTTTTCTGTAGCTTTCTTATACAGAAAAAGTGTTTTATAGAGTGAATTGTACATTAAAAATGTAGTCTAAACTATTAAGCATCAATCCCTTTTTTATATCATCCCATATTATTACATCACCTCCAAAGCTTAAGAGCTTCGGCCTTATGGTTGGGATGACATGAAAATTACCCTCTGTCGTCTGTTCTCAAATTTCCCATGTTAGAAAAAAAAAAATAGATGGCTAAGAAAATTTATTCTTATTTAGTGGAGAAAAAATAAAGAACCAAAATCTTAAGATAATGTTATAGATGTAAGATTGTAAATTTATAATTTTACGTGATGTTTAATAAAATATAATATGATATTAAATAAATAGATGTATATGATATTATAAGTAAAATTTTGAATAAAAAATTAATTATATAATGATATATGAAGTTATATATTTATAATATCAC